TAAAAAATAACAATAACATTAAGTACCTATTGAGTAAAATATTATTTAAATACATTTACTTATTAAAATTTACTAACAATTACCTATATTCTTCTAAGTTATACATTTTTTTTTTTTATGGAGAGCTTTTAAACTATTTTGAAAATAATAAATTTGTCTAAGACCTGAAAAAGACTAAATAATAAATATTATTATTCAATTTTWGTTTCACGATTTTGTTAAATCCTTGTTTAGTTTGCCACCAAAAAAACCCTTAAAAAGTATGTGTGCTTGTAAATTTAYGTTTGCCTTAATGTAGAGCAGAGCGGTACCCACTAGCCCAAYGTTTTTGTAAGAATGTTTTCTTTCAACTTTTGCAAATTAAGTTTGTTTAGTAATTGTATTACCCATCGACATATTTTCCTWGGTTATCCYCAAGCTGACATATTATTAATTTTACATTAATTTCTTACAAATCATTTCAATTTGATAAACTAATATAATATTTGTTTCATAAAGTATAGGTTCTTTTGTTTTTTCGATTATTCAGATGTACATAAATAAACCTACTGTGTGGTTGTCGTTCGCTGTGGATACCATCACAATCTAACTTATAGTTTACGAAMAATCCGGTGCTCAATATGTCCGATGTCGATATAACACACACTGACCTATTACTTCAGGAATCAAAAKGTTTTGTCACTGATACCCACTAATAATATCATTCTAATCAAATTCGTTCTAGTTAATTGTAAATAATAGATTTCAAATTTAAMAATACTATTATATGGGCTGTACTGATGCTTTACACTCAAAGCATATTATTTGAAATGATGTCATTCTCATTTGTAAACTTTATTTATTTTATAAATTTAAGAAAAAAAGATATATTAAAATATTTACAAGTGGTATTTAGTAAAATATTACACCATTTTAATTTCCGTAGGTGGTTCTTCGAGCTGTGTGGTTTCACCACGATATAACCACCAATCTAGATGTCACCGATCAGCTAGTGAATCTCGAGGTAAACATGTTTAAACCTTACATAATATTCACCTGGTAAATATTGTTTGGTTGGAAAATCTTTCATGATATTGAGCATTTGTATAAAATTACGCAAAATCATATTCCKACTGGAGGCTGAGAAAATTGAAGTACATAAGTTTACTCATTAACTTGCCGTAACTTTATTTTAAATAACTGACAGGTATTTACTACAAAATGGCGCATATGAGGAAAATAAAAAGTTTGTGAAAGAATGCTGT